ATGTATGTATAATTTCTCTTATTTGGGTTGATAATGTCAGACAAATGGAAGTTTTGAATAACTAAGTTTTGAAGAAAAAAGAGTCTAGTAATAAAATAAAAAAAATAGAATAACTAAAACACTATGGTTTGAATGTCAACATTGTCCTACTGAACTGAGCCGGAGCTTTCACAGAAATTGAGATTGTCTTTGCTGTTATTTTTTGTTATTCATACTTGTGACCAAGTTTCCCAGAATTTTAATTGCAATGCAATTTGGTAGCTTGTCATTTGGTTCATCGAAGGAAGTTTTGTGGAACTTCAGTAGAGCTCCTGAGACACTCCACAAAATTTCTCCTTTTCCCCCTGGGGAAAGCATTCACATCAGTTTGTTTAATTTAGTATACATAGTAAAGTAAAACTGGGAAGGAAGCATTGTCACTTGGAAAAAGGTAAACTTTGGGCATGAACACAGCTGTTAACCTTGTTTTTCTAAAATATATAAATAAACATGTATTTTTTGATATGTATGTAAATTGTGAATGTTGATCATTGTCCTTTCATGCTATATTCATTACTCTGGTATCTGCAGAAATTGTTTCTGAGGAAAAAAAAAAAACTTTTTTTTTTCTTCTAGTAACAGCTGTCAACAGATTGAACTTTTGACAGTGGATATATATTTTCCACAAAAAGCCAAATAGACTGATGTTACTAAGTTTTGTTTCAAATACTACTGGCATTTTTGTTTATTTGATTCAAAGCCAGTTTCCTTGCTTTGAGATAATTTTTTTTTTCAACAGAGCTCATTTTGTTTCTATTTCTTCTCTTCCCTTGATACCAACACAGTATAAAAATTGTAGTAGCTGGCCCTCCCCTGTGGCGCAGCAAGTTAAAGCACAGCACTGAGAATCTAAAGCCGCTTCCGCATGAGTTCAATTCCTGCCTGCCCTGGAGGTGACTACATGGTGTGGCAGACCTCTCCTGGCCTGCCCGCTGCTCCCCTCAGCACTGTACTTCGTAGATCTGCCTGTTCTGTTCCCCACTCTGTCTCTGGTGAAGCCTCTCACCGCCCCTGAGCCTCTGGCCTGTACCCCAGTTCTGTATGCACAAATAAATAAATCTTTAAAAAAAATTGTAGTAGCGATTTTTACTACTCATGAGTCTGTTTTTGCATAACTTCAATAGGGGATTTTGTCTGTTTAAACTGAAGAAACTGGCAATGTGCTTCAGTGGCTTTGCTTGGCATTCTCCAGGAACTTCAAACAGAGCTGAACAAAGGAGATCTGCTGCTTTGTTTATAGGGTTCCAGAGGCCTCCAAAGAAGGTGAGGAAGCTTGCCTCCATTGGAAGGACTGGACAACCCGAGAAAAACATTGAGCCGTGGTAATCTCGAGAAGAGGTGACCCCAGGTTAACTCTGCTGAGACTGATGTTGTTCCTGAAGCCTACGTCGACTGGACATCAACTGTTTGCTCTGATATTATATGGAGTGTTCCAACAAGGCCATCTAAATATTGCTGTAGTCTGCTCTATTTTTATGGAAAAATAGAAAAATGGTTAAAAGGTAGCTTGAATTTGTAAATAGATTGTACATTGTTAGATTAAGTTGGGAGCAAGGTTGAGAGAACTTGTCTTTAGAGAAGTTAAACAAGTTTTTAAAATTTTTTTCCTGCTCCTGTTATTTTGATATATTGGAACATTTTTTTCTCTTCACCTATAATGATGGACTATTTTCCAGTAATGACCATCATACCGGGCATTCATGAACATCTCTGGTGACTGCTGCTTCTTTTGCATACATTGAAACCTTAGGAAGACTGGAAACCTTATGGAGACTTTCTCTTAAGACTACACTCTGTGATCTGTGCCACCATAGATATGGTTGTATGAAATCAAAAGGGGGAAATTGTTAAGGGGAAGGCTGTCCTAAAGTAACTCTGCAGAGTTTGTTGGACTCCACCCCCTACTCAGCTTTCTGGACTCAATGCAAAATGCTACCTTTGATACTGGTCTGAAAAGAAATGGATAGAACAATCTCAGAGGAGTTCAAATGAACCAGGATACGGTCAGCAGCTGATGCTTTCTTCCAAGCTGCTGGCAGTAGACAAACCAGGTTTTGCAGGGAGCTGGAAAGAAAGAGTTGGCTCTTCTACTTTGATTAATGCATCACTAGTCTTCAAGTTTAGTTAAATAAAAGAAGTCTCTCAGACATGACACACTAATTTACACCTGGCCTTTCAGAATGATGGTGTGATTTGGATCATCTCCAGGTTGTCTGTCTTTGATATTCTATCCACCCACATGTTTGCATATTCCAAAGCTGTAGGAGCATAAATATTACAATGAAATCCATACTATGTTATGGTAGAATGACATGTACTTTATTCATATAACTGACAGTTAGGCAGTACTCAAAATTCAGTTAAATAAGCAAGTGATTACACAAATGTCTATTAATACTAAAATCGATAGTCAGAAGGTATAAAATACCATGGGTATGAAATGCCATGGTAAATACTATTCAACAGACTACAATCATAATTCCAAACAAAATCATGGTTTTTCAAATGATGTTTAGCAGTTCTGGAATGATTGAATTTTTTTCTCCTTCCAAGCCATTTACTTGTCCCATGGGTGTAAGACAAGGTCGGTATTTCCAAGGAATATTGCAGAACGTCATAGCTGAGGTTCCTCTCTTGCAACATATCTTCTTACAAATTATTTTTTAATATTGTGTCTTGAGAGAGAAAGCAAAGCAGTCAGCACTCAGTTCCCCAAGCAGAGATGCCTGGATCAGAACAGTGCTGGGGGTGGCTCTGAGTTTAGCCAGAGGCAGGCAGTGAAAAACCTTTTGCAGCTTGGGAAGTATGCTTACTCCTTTTCTGAGGCTCCAAGTATGACTAACATATTTAGGTATCCAAGCCAGTGAAATGATGGAAATAAAGTAATTTAAAATGATGGAAATAATGTAATTTGCTATCCAGATGACTCTGACACAATTGCAATGGGGGAGGGAAGAGGTATAAACTACAGTATAATCCTAAGGTACTTTGAACAAAACAGCACCTACCTACATTGGTCCTTGTAAGCCTCTGTATACTTTTATGAAGCACAGCTGTTTGCTGGAATGGTTTGGCTTATCATGTGTCTGTCTGTATTATCTTAAAGTCTTATACTTTATTGGAATGCGGTCCAAGCATGAACCTGGCTTGAAAAGCTAGCAGCGGTAGTGATGGAACCTATCAATAAATTAAAAGGCTTTCACAGAACAAAATGCAGCTAAATCTCTTACATACAAAATACAGCTAGTGAAATACAGCTCTTTAATGCTGAATGATGAGGGGAAGGAAAACAATCTAAAAAAATAGAAAACTCTTTTCATACCAGGGAGTCAAGGCAAGATCTAACACTGCATAATGCCACAATATGAGCAGTTACAGGATGACAGAGACCCCAGAAATAGTGGTATCTGGGGATCTGGGAATTATGACCAAAAGATGAAAATACTGTACCAAAAGGCATGCATACGACCGCTGTGTGCATTCAGTGAGCGCTGGGACCTAAAGCAGAGATCTAACACGACAATGAGGCAGTGTTCCGGGGGGTCCATTAAACCAGTATGGGTGACTACATGTTGAGTAAACCTTCCGAGGCAGCAAAGTGTGGGCACAGTGCCATGTCTGGGTTCTGCAGCTGTTTTATGATCCTCTTGCGGAATTTCTCCCGCACACGATTAAATTCCATTATGTCCATGGGGTCCTCTTCAATCCAAAACTTATGAAACTCATGCATCAAATAGCCTGTTGGAGATAAGACAATGATAAGAATGTAGAAGGAAAAATGGTCCCTAATCACATTTGAACTCACCCTGGATGCTGAAAGATTAGAGCAAGGAGCTCAAAGAAGAGCTCAAAATACAGCCAGTACTATTGTTTAAGATGACTCTTTAAAGTCAGCACAGTACAAGTTAAAAATCAGCAAGATATCTGTAATTGGTTTTGGAGTTATTCTGACTCTTCTCAAGCAGGAAGACAAATCAATTCTGCCATCTCTTAAATGTGAACCACATCCGGAACATATTCTGAGAGGCTGATCATGACTGCCTCATCCTTCTCTTCCTCATTAAATTAACAGAATGGTCTGAATTTTCTAAATTACTAATATTTGATTTGACTGGACAAGTCAAACAAATGTGTTCTGATAAGCTATTAGGAGACCATATGTTTTAAATAGACTCTGAACCACATGGGCTGGTCATTATTTGAGATGAAAGTATTAATAAGACTACTTTGTTCTAGTGCATGGTTTCATTTTCCAACACTTCTATGACTTAAACATGTTACCTATGAATAATCTGGATTGGGGAAATTTCTGGAATCAATGTTCAGCATTTGATATAGAATCTAAAAATGTGTGGTTGTCCAACTTGCTCCTCCCCTCCACTACACACAAGACCTTAATTAAAAAAAATGTTATAAAGATAACAATACTGGATATTTGCATGTCATTAACCCAGTGCAACCTCACATGTCTTCGGATATAGTAGAAAAAATATTTAAGGGCATAATCTTACTTAACAAAAGGAAACCAAGTTTTTCTTTTGTCTTAGTAGAAGGAAACAGAATAATGAGCAGCAAAGAGTATGATCCAGAAACCTGGTTTGAATCCTAGCTCTTTCACCTCCATGGCGAGGGTGTGAGCAACAGAGGTGATAAAAGAGAGTTTGCAACAAACATTCTTAATTTTAATAGTTTTTTTAAAAAACAAAACAATAGGCTTCGTTTTTAGTGACTAAGGTAGGAGTGGTTCCCAAATCCATTCTCAGGATTCTTCCCCTTAAGGCTGAAAAAGTCATGTTGTCAAGTTTATGAGCATATTTCTGGGAGCCTCTTTGTTACATCCAGGAAATAGAGGCTGTGTGATGATTTTAATCAAAATTCTGAAATCATATGTGGCTTCCAGGGTATGAGTTATAATCTGAAAACTCCACTCACTTACATAAAGAACGTGTCTTGGTTTTGCTTCAATGTATTCAGTTATTAGACAGCAGAGACATATGCCAGGACTCAGGTAATTGCAAGAGTACTGGAGACCGGCACAGCTGACCGTAGTGAACAGAGGAACAATCAATTCAAGGCACACTTGGCTTCCTCTAAAGAGACTGAGGTTCCTCTGCTGATATTCCAATGTATGGAGGTCTGTTTCCAAATCCTGGTGAAGGCCTTGGGTAAAAAGTGCTCCTGTTGCATGCTTCCTCACCAGAGTTAGGGTTCCTTTGGAAACCCAGCAATTCAGGCAAAGGCTAATTAATCCTAAATTTTCCCCTGAGGATACGAGTATCCCTCCCTCTATTTAAACATGGCCAATATTCCATCGAGGTCATATCCTTCAGATTTGCTGAAACCTAGCTTTATTATTCTCATCCTATTGCACAGATATCGTTTTAGCCTGTCCCTTCACCTTCAGTTCTCTCCTGTGATAGATTTCCTGCTTTCTAGAACCCACTTATTCCTTTTATGTTATTTTTTATGGAAAAAATAAAAATCATTCTATTATTTTATGGAAATATATTCTTCAGGAACTTTGTGATAAAGCACAGAAGGTAAAATGTTTAAGACAATGCATTTAAATGTCTTATTCAACTGCCACACTTAATTGGTAAGTTTGAATGAGTATAGAATTCTAAATTGGAAATCACATTCCCTTAGATTTTAAAACTTTTTCATTTTTAAACATATAATTTCACTGTATGCTAGAATACAAAGATACTGTTAAGAAGTATGATAACACCTTGGTTCCCGATTTTTTATATGATATCTCTGCAAATTTTTAAGATCATCTTTATCCAGTGTTGTTAGATTTCATAACGATATGTACCTTGGTGTAAGTCCCATGCTTCCTAGTTACTCGCTGCATATGAACACTCATGCTTAGTTCTGTGTATTTTTCTTGATTTATCTCTTTGTTTTCCTCTGCTTACCTTCATTGTCATTTTTACTGGTACTAGTATCATTCAGGTATAAACATCCCCAAAATTGTTCTCTTTCTCCCTCTGGATGCCATTCAATATTTTAGCCTCTCATCCATCCATCCAAAAAAATAAGAAAATCAAAACTAAAGTTTTGAAGTTTTCAAGTTACATCCCAAAGTAGCCAAATCACAAAACTCTCTCAGCTCTGACTCTTGTCTTCAATGATCTATAGAAAGTTTTATCAATACTTAACCAATAGGACACTTACAGAACGTCTGTTGGAAGTGGGGCAATGTTGGAGCTTCTGGGGCAATGTTGTAGAAATGAGTCTTCAGAGCTCCACTCACCAGTAGATTATATGCCAGATCAGTTATATTGATGCCCACTATGGCAAATGAGTACCTGTAAAGTGAAAATCACAGAATTCACTGAATGTTATGGGAAATTAGCATTGCAAAAAATGATCATATTCATTCTAACTCTGATTCACTCACAACCTTTATACATGAAATTCCACACTCACCCAATTGCTTTATCCAGCCTTTTCTTCTCCCATTCTGCTTTGCTGAATTTGCTACATGAGTGAATAAATAAACAAGATTTATTGTCTAATTGGTACTTGTTCTCATTAATGTTTATGTTAAAAATGTGCAAATGCAGAGATGTCTATAAATCAACTACTAATCAATTTAAATGCTATTAATTAAAAACAAAAATACAACTTATATGGAAATGAGAACTGGAATTATTAAAGGATGTTTAATGCTATTTAGCCCTTTTTCACTTTTGTACGGGAGTGGGAGACAGCTGCAAAGGCCAAACACTAAGAGAATATTACACTGTTATCATTATCTAGAACTTCCTCCATGAAACCTGCCTGCTTGATCTCTCTCCTCTAACCAGATGCTGCCTGTTCTCATGGTTCCTCAACTGCATTACATCTGGTTTTACTTCATGACTTTTATCCTACTCAGTCTCATATGAAGTCTAGATTGCAGTAGCTGCCAAATAAATATTCATTAATAATGAAATTACTGAATAAGTGAAAAAAAGGAAAGGAGAGAGGGAGGGAGGGAGGAGGAAGGAGAGACAAAAAGGGATAGAAGGATGGATGGAAGGAAGAAGAGAGTGAAGGAGAGAGGAGATAAAGGTTTTAAATTTTCTGTTCCAACAAGTACTTCTTGAAGAAGCTAAAAGAGCTAAACCACAGCAATTTCACTGAAATCTGTTTTATAATATGAGCATCTGGATATGACTGGTGAAAGAAAGGTTCTGTCATAAAGGTGCTCTAGAACTACTACTGCCTACCATTTTCTTTTGGGGGGCCTAGCTTATCCCCTCTCCATCTTGCCAACATCTCTTAAGCAGGAGCCATGTTCCATTCTTCTTTATGGTTGATGTAACTTTTACTCAGCATTTTACTCTAAAAATTGGGGCTAGCATTTGAACTAAATAAATGAAAACTAGAGTCAACCAAACATTCAGCTTCTATCTTAGTGGAAAAAAGGAGCACTCTCTATAAATACACTGCACACACTATACTACAAGACACACAAGAGACACAGCACAGGCACAAAAACGTGAAGCTCCTTAACTATATGTGCCTCCTACATGACTGGCTATAATTCACAGTCACTGCCTGCATTCATATTAAAAACATCTACTTCTTTCTAGAGTGCAACAGAAAACTAACAACCAACCAGCCAAAGGCTCTGATCCAAACTAAAATGAGTTAGGTATGGAATTTAAGAAACTTGATATAAACAAATTTACAAGCACCTTCCTTCCTTTCAATGTATCTTTATAAATACATAGTGTCTGTTTTTTTTTTACAAGGTGATTTTATTAATATAAAAGACATCTGCATAGACAAACAAGCAAAGGCTGCACTTTAAAAAGACAGGTTTATCAGAAAAAGAGACATCTGATAGGCAAGTCGTAGGGCAAGACTTGCCTATATATTTACATTAAAATGCTCTCTGCATTGGAAATATAAGAAAAAGCCAAACAATTTCCACTCATTTCATTACATATAGGATATCCTGGCCCAAACATACCAAACAAATAGACTAAAACCAATAGACAAAATTCTCCTTTTAAGCTTTAATCTATTTTTTTTTATCTCTGATTTGATTTTTAGACTCAACAGTGGATATTCACAAGTGCAGTAATGTGTGGCGCTTGCTGAAGGACAGACAGGAAGGAGTTTTCCTTAACACATGCTGACTACCTACCTGAACACCCGAAATACTCAGGGCTGGACAGAACCTGTGCAACTGTCCATTGCATCAGCCAATCAACAGACATTGGTGAAGGATAAATGAATTTTAAAAACATTCTGGTTTTCATTTAGTGGTTTACCATCAATTTGAAGTAATTATGGTTTTATTGTAGGTTGAGGGACAAAACCTAAACTCTGACTACACACACACACACACACAAGCTATGTCAGAGCAATTATACAAATCCGCAGATACCTCCTCTCTGATAGCTGACACAGGACATAAAACTATGAAGCCTTTCTTTGGGAATGGCTCATAGGCAAAATGAATCCCCCTTGCATGGATAACCAGAAAATATTTTAAGCATATTGTCACTTTCCAAGAACCATGAGGGTTGAAGTCTTCTGGGTGGTGCTCCTCCAGGAAATGCCAATTTTCAAAAATTTTCTCTATTATATTTATTTTCTTTAGCCAATAATTGGAGTGGGATTAGACTTTTTGCATTATATAAATAGGCAATCCAGAAGCACAAAATGCTAAAAATTAAAATGGCTTTGTTATAACCATCTATCAAGAAAAAGCCAAGTGATTAGTGTTTTTTTAAAGTAAAACAAGTTTAAAAAATAAAAATTTAATCTATAAAAGATATAAACTTATAAATTTACATTTATATAAGTTATAGCTATAAAACTTGTATACACATATATAAGTTATATAAATGTATATTTATAATTTGGGAAGTATAGTTCAATTTAATGAACCTTATGGTGGAAGGGGGTACCCAAAGTCAACCTATTTCTGATCTTTGAAATTAATATGATAAAATTTTGGATTTATTTAGCAAACATACACAGTAACAATGAATTTACCAGCTGAAGAGAAAAAAGATGACACAAAACCACAATTGCAAAATAACATAGTTTTCTTTACTAAACTAGAGTTAATTAGCTAAAATAAAAAGCTGGGAAATGTTTGCTTTTTAAAAAATTTTCCATGAATTCATATTTAAAATATTTACCTTTACTTATTCTAAGATAAAATAAAAGCAACAAAACACAAAAGCAAAGAAAAATACCTTATTTCCTCTTTAGTGATATCCCTTCATGTAATCAGTTAAAGAAAAAAATTTAGAAAGATAAATGAAAATGCGAATAATTTAGAAGCTAGTTTAAGAAAAAAAGTTTCAGCAGTTCCAGGTGTGCTCAGTTGGCCCCTGACACCATGACTTCTGCTTCCCCACCCCTCTGCTCCCAGTGCCGCTCCTGGTCTCTCAGCTCCTCCAGATTCTCACGCTCCCATCCTCCCCAGGGAAATCCACACCTCACTGGAACGGTGTCACCTTACATCTTAAAATCCCAAATAAGTACCTGAAGTTTTAACCCACAGTGTTGGTCAGAAGGTTGTTTGAAATAACTGTGTGGTCTTGTTTTTATATTACTAAATGATTTTACAGTAATTTACAACACGGTGTCTGTCTCAGGAGTACAGGTTCACATCTCTTCAGACATATTACCTTACCTATCACCAAATCCCCTAGTCCAATGGGTCCCCCTCCCACTTTTTGCTCCCTCCTGCTCTGGTAGTCTCAGTTCTGCAGTAGATTTCAAGGGTTAATTTGGGTTTGGTTTTGTCTGTTCCTTTGATTTGCTTTGCTTCTTTATATTCCACATGAGTGACACCATCTGGTACATGTCTGTTTCCTTTGTGGCCTTGGCTCTGCTGGGTTGATGCTGTTCCCACAGATCAGGTAGGAGATGAAGTCCATTCTATCTGACCCATAAAGCTTAGTCTCCCTTTGATTTCCTACAGGTACCTGCATTTTGGGTGAAGAGAGTCGGAGAGAACCTGTTGAGCTGCTGAAGCATCCCTTTCTGCGAAATACCTGCAGGTGGAGGTGGAGGAAAGGAAACCATTACTCGGTGGTGGGGGGAATTGGAGGGGCACATTCATTTAGCCCATTGTAATTCAGTGATGGAGGCCGGTATAAGATTGTATCTTGTTTCAGAGCACCAACAGGTTTTCATAATAGACTTTTCCAAATAGAATATAACAGTTAAATCTACATAGATTTAGTTTTGAAAATCTAATTATGCTTTTGGCCATTTCCCCTTGAAAGTCAAAGATATTCTTATGAAGCAGGGTTATAATGAAGGGTTGGGTTGAGACCCCTTAGAGAATGGGAGCCTGGAGGAAGTGATGTGGTGAGCGGCTGGGACAGCCAAGGGCAGGGAGTGGACAGACCCATCAGGGGAAAGAGGTGCCTTTCGAATGCATTTTACTTGCACATTATTTATGGCATATTTCAATGCTGGATGAATGGGAAGTAGTTTATGGAGCATAGAGAAACTTTTTTAAAAAAATCTGTTCCCAGGAGTAAGGAGCAATGAAGTCTCCTAATGAAAAAGTTTACACATTCCCAATAATACATAATAAAGGTGTACTACATAAAAACAATCACAAGAGAAAACTCACATACATTATTTGGTTGGATGTGTAATACATGTTCTGCATAAATGTAAATGCTATGATTGTTAACAGGGACAAGTCTTGTTTTGCATACTTTTGTTGGCTAGCTAGGTTTTCTCTGTTCATGAGTGCTGGCCTACTCTATCCAAGCAGGTCCACAAATCACTAAGACAAAAACCCTATAGAGAATGACACATGGGATTCAAGACCATTATCACACAGGTGATGCCTGTCTTGCCTGTTACTTTGTTTATGGTGGGTTCTCTTCCAGAAGGTTTCCATTTAAATGAGGAGAGTTGTTAATTTTATTTATTGTTTGAAATTAAACTAAGAGTAGTAATTCTTCTTTTACAGTTATGCTTTCTTTGTGTAATTTTTAAAAAGATTTATTTATTTATGCATAGAACTGGGGCACAGGCCAGAGGTGCAAGGATGGTGAGAGGATTCACCAAAGACAGAGTGGGGAGCAGAACAGGCAGATGGAGGAAGTACACTGCTGACGGGAGCAGAGGGCGGGTCAGGAGAGGTCTGCTGCACCATGTGGTCATCTCCGGGCCGGGGATCGAACTCATGCTGAAGTGGCTTTAGCTTCTTAGTGCTGTGCTTTAACCTGCTGCGCCACCAGGGAGGGCACTGTTTGTGCTTTTAAGAGTACCCTCCTCGCTTCTGTATCCCCAAGATTTTCTCCTCATAGTTAAAGACTTGTTTTTGACATTCTGTTTGTCGAATTGAGGTGCAGTAGCGAAGTTACTTTAACTATTTTTTTTCTAAATGGAAGGCCAAATGTCCCAGCTCTATGTATTCAAAAGCCCTTTGTCTTCCTATTTATTTGAATCACCATTTTTGTCAGTAAAGCTTATTCTTTGTTCACATTAGATAATAATGTAGCACTTAAAACATATAAGAATGGATGGTAGTTAAATTTCCCTAAATTTAAACAAAGGCAAACATTTGAGAGAAATATGAAGTAGTATCAACATTGATTAAGATCTAATTCAAGGTTTAATTTAAAATATATCACCATTCTCCCTAATAGGATAGTGACCTAAGACATAAGGCCAACTGAAAAAAAACTCCTTCTGGTAGAAAAATGAGAACAAATGATGCATTAAAGCACACACAAACACACACACAGAAATAGTGGACACAATGAACTGAATCACAATAAGCATATAAAAACTAAGGATTAAGGGCCCTCCCTGGTGGCGTTATGGGTTAGGACACAGAAATGCAAGCTGGCCGCAGCCGCTTCAGTGCAATTTCTATCTCTGGCCAAGAGGTGACCCACATGGCACGGCAGACCTCTCCTAAACCCGCCCTCTGCTCCCCTCAGCAGTGTACCTCATCGATCTGCCTGTTTTGCTTCCCACCCTGTCTCTGAAGCTTCTCACCGCCCCTGCTTCTCTGGCTTATACCCCAATTCTGTATGAATAAATAAATAAATCTTTAAAAATAATGGATCCTTTCAAAAAAAATAGGGATTAAAAATGATAGTGACAAATAGACAAAGTGAAAGGTTCATGATCACTATTAGGAAAAATCAGGACAGCAACTCCTCATGGAAAATTGGCAACTTAATTAGTTGGGCATCTGTGCTGCCTACATTTCAGGGACACCAAATAACTATGGTTGATAAAGGAAGCAGACTTTATGGAATTGCAGCCAAAAATTGTGGGAGAAAAAAAACAAAATTAGGAAAGCACTTTGTGTACCATGAATGATGGGTCAGTGAAGAGCACACGAGATGGGGAGAACTAGATAAAAGGCAGCTGGGGGCTCTCCAGTGGAGCCAGCGGCCATGATTCCTCTGCTGTCGCCTGTGGTGACAGGAATCTATGCCGGCCTTTCCCAATACCTCGGTTTTTAGGCCATTCAGGGGATGAGTACAAATGCAAACACACAACTGACCTGAATCTTGCCCAAATTAATGACTTGGAGTGGGGGCAAAGCGAGGAGCGGGGAAGATTCTAATGAAAAGCGACCAGAGAGACGTGATCGTTAAGCACAATGTGTGGAGAGTGTATGGAACTGGATCAGAACAACCAGCTGCAAAAAAGACATTGCAGGGAGAATTGGGAACAGGCATATGTGCTGTGTTTACATGACACCATGGAATCACTGTGAAATTTTTAGGTGTGATAATGGCATTGTGGTTTAAGTAAGGTAACTGTATACTGAAATGTGAACTGTAGGATTTTATGAACATAGTTCTGCCAAAAATACAAAAAGAACCAGAAAAACAACAGTAACAAAAGCATGGCAAATATTTCAAAATCTTAATATTGAATCTGGGTGTTTAGTCAAAGAGGTTCTTTACACACTTCCTCTGTTATTGCATATGTTTTGTTTCATAACCAAAGTTTTTGAAAAGTACCATAAAATAGATTTTGAAACATGCACAAAGTCTCTCAAATAAGACAGATATTGATAGTTTTTAACACTTTGTGAACCTGAGTTGTATCTCAGAGGACTTAAATGTTTCTTAGAGCCTTCTGAAAAGGGGCTTTGGTACTAATTACTCAACTTTCCCATTTCAGCAGAGCATCACTGTCTTACTTAATCATTCTTCATTGGACTTACTGCAAATTGTACAGTCCCAGGAGGCCCATTCCTCGAAAATCAGTTTTAGGATCATCACCTTGGAAACCAATTTCACACCATTGCTTAGAAATCCGAGATTCCAGGGGTGTATTGGGCTTCAAAAATGTCCACAACTGGAGACAAAAGAAACATTAGGACAAGAAGGAAATTTACGTGCCTATATACACACATAAATACACTTTGCTCTTCACTCAGATTTATACATTATATTACTAAGAGGAGCTCTGTGAAGTGCATGCATGCAAATATATTAGTTTTGGATCTTTCTATTGTCTATGACAGCAGTTCCTATAAGATATTTCAGAGACTCCTTGGAGGAAGCCTAAAAATTTTTTTAGAAGGATAAGAGGTAAAAATTATTTTATAATAAAATGAATAGGTTGTTTGTCTTTTCATACAATTGTTACACCCAGAAAGGACAGGAAATCAGAAGTAGGAAGGGGGGTTCCTGCAGCAGATGACACTACAGATAGGGCAGCTGTGCTCCCAAGCAGCTGATCACCACACAGGTCCCATCCTCTCCACATATGGCTCTTCTCTTTGCACTCAACCTTTGTCCCAAGCTTTCTGCCTGTCTGAAATTTGTTGCTGAAGTAACAACGTGAGACCATTCAGTTATTTACTCATGCAGGGTGAAGTAATTCTCAGCCAGATAACCTTGGGACTGTCTCTTCCCATCAGGAGAGGGTGTTTGTTTTTTAAAATAATGTAATAGTTTATTTTTACATCATTTTGTGCATTTTTCCATCTCAGTTGTAATCCTGTGGGCTTCCCATCACCAAATCACCTGCGTGCCATCCCTATAGTCCAGTGCATTTCCCTCCTCCAACTGTTTTATGATCCCCTTCCCCACTCCACCCCATAAAATGTCTCTGGTATATAGCTATTCATTATTATTGTTATTTTCTCGTCTGGTCCGTTATACTTGCTATGAGTGAAACCACCTGGTATTTTTCCTTTTCTTTCTGGCTTATTTCACTAAGCATGATCTTTTCCAGCTCCATTCATGTTGCTGCAAAAGGCATGTGCTTATTTATTTATTTTTGGTTGCTGAGTAATATTCCATTGTGTATATGTACCACATCTTTTTAATCCAGTCATCTACTTTTGGGCATTTGGGTTGTTTCCATGTTGTTCCAATTGTAAATAAAGCAGCAATAAACATGGGGGTGCAGGTATCTTTTTCAATCAGTGTTTTTGTGTCTTTTGGGTAGATACCTAGGAGTGGAATTGCTGGGTCATATGAAAGGTCCACTTTTAGCAGTTTGAGGAACCTCCAAACAGTTTTCCATAGTGGTTGTACTAGTTTTCATCCCCACCAGCAGTGCAGGAGATTTCCTTTTCCTCCACATCCAGGAGGATGTTTTAACTGGATTGTATTTTCCTATAAAGTACATGAGCTCATCTAAAAATTTATTTTTATTATTAATTCAGTTAGAAAGCATTTCATAGAAATGGATGAGGAACATAAAGTGATGTCATTCAGTTTCATCCCATCTTATGTTTAAGTGATCATAAACTCCAGACTTATTTTATCCTTTAAGACTTCCAGTAGGTACACTGATAATATGTTTATAAATCAAATCACTTAAATCCTATGGCAATAGATTACCTACTATGGACAGTATGCACACATAGATCATCCAAGAAGGTACAGGGAAAGCACCCAAATATCATCAGTTCAGAGGGCATCTCATTTGAAAGTGGGAAAATCAGGAGAAAGGGGACAAAAATGTGGTAAATACAGACATGGACTTTTAGTGGGGAAATCAATGTAGTATATATGCACATTGATTTTCAACGATGAACATCTAGAATCTATATATCAGGTAGCAAAGCTTTTCAAAGAAAAAATTACAAATGAAAGCAAAATTTCAAAACCCTAAAGCCAGTAGAAGAAAGGAAACAATACAAATTAAAGGAGAGATAAATGAATTAGAAATTAAAAAAACAATCCAAAAGATAAATGAAAACAGAACTTGATCCTTTGAAAAAATAAATAGACAAACCTCTAGCCAGGCTCACAGAGAAAAAATGAGAGAAAACCAGATTAATAGAATCCTGAATGAAAGAAGAGAAATCATAACAGATTCCAATGAAATAAAAAGAATAATCAGAGATTATTATGAACACTTGTATACAAACAAATTTAACAACCTAGTAGAGAAAAGAGATGGACAAATTCCTAGAACGATATAAACATCCAAAGCTAGACATAGAAGAAATACAATATCTAAACAGACAAATTATGTACAGTGAAATTGATGCAGTAATCAAATCACTCCCCAAAAATAAAAGCCCAGACCAGACAGCTTCACAAATGAATTCTACCAAACATTCAGAAATGAATTAGTACCTATGCTCCACAAGCTTTTTCAAAAAATAGAAAAAGAAGGAGTAATGCCAAATACATTCTATTAAGTCAGTATTATACTGATACCAAAACCAAACAGAGACATCACAGAAAAGAAAACTACAAGCCAATCTCCCTAATAAACATTGATGCAAAAATCCTCAACAAAACCCTTGCCAACAGAATCTAACAATGCATCATAGAGATAATCCACCACAATCAAGTGGGATTCATCAGGGGCACAAGGATGGTTCAACATACAAAAATCAATAAATGTCATCCAACACATCAACAAAAAAGTAAAATAAAAAACCACATAAATGTATCAATAGATGCTGAAAAACTTTTCACAAAGTTCAACATCCATTTATGATGAAGGCCCTTGAAATTCTAGGGATAGAAGGAACATACCTTAAGGTGATAAAAGCCATATATGACAAACCCACAGCCAATATTATTTTCAACTGTGAAAAGCTGGAGGCCTTTCCATTAAGATCAGGAACCAGGCAAGGATGCCCACTGTCACCACTCCTCTTCAATATAATACTGGATTTCCTTGCCAGGGTAATAAGAGAAAGTCATACAAGGAGTTCAAACAGGGCAAGAAGAAGTAAAACTATCACTATTTGTGGGTAATATGATAATATATAGAGAGAACTCTAAAAGCTCCACAGAAGAGCTACCCAAAAATAATCAGCCAGCTCAGCGAAGTAGCAGGATACAAAATCAACACACAAAAATCAGTAGCATTCCTATACACAATCAAATGAAGAAGAAATAAAGAAAGCCACCTCTTTTAAAATTGAAACAAACAACAACAACAAAAAATCAAAATACCTGGGAATAAACCTAATAAAAGATGCAAAAGACCTATAGAAAGAAAATTATAAAACATTGTTAAAAGAAATAGAAGACACAAAGAAATGGAAAAATAGCCCCTGCTCATGCATTGGAAGAATTAACATTATTAAAATGGCCATCCTGCCAAAAACAATTTACAGATTAAATGCTATTCCAATAAAAATATCAACAACATTCTTCAAAGAATTAGAACAAGCACTGATGAAATTCATATGGAACCACAGAAAACCAAGAACAGCCAAAGTTCTACTGATGAAAACAAAGGAAAACGGAAGTATCACACTTCCAAACTTAATCTATACTACAAAGCCATAATAATTAAAACTGTGTGGTACTGGAACAAAAACAGACACAGAGACCAATGGAACTGAATAGAAAGTCCAGGAATAAACCCACACCTATATGGACAATTGATCTTTGACAAAGAAGCAAAGAATATACAATAGAACAAGGACCATTTGTTTGACAAATGGTGCTGGGAAAACTGGGCTAACATAAGCAAAAGAATGAAACTAGACCACTACCTCACACCACGTACAAAAATCAACTTGATTTTCATATAAATAGAGCATAAGACCTTGGGCATAAGACCTGAAACCATAAAATATATAGAAGAAAATATAGGTAAAACACTATGAGACATACATCTCAAGAACATCTTTAAAGACTCTTCACTCAAAGCAAAGAAAATGAAAGAAAAGATAAAATATGGGACTACATCAAACTGAAAAGCTTCCACACAGCAAATGAGACATTAACCAAGACAAAGATACACCCTACTGACTGGGAAAAAAATCTTTGCTTTCCATACAAAGATATACAAAGAGCTCGAATCAACAAAAATAAAACAAACTCAGTTGAGAAATGGGCAGAAGAACTTATCCAAAGAGGAACTGTAAATGGCCAACTGGCATATGAAAAAATATTCAATATCTCTCATAATCAGGGAAAAGTAATTCAAAACCACAATGAGATACCACCTCACACCAGTTGAGACTGGCACATATCAAAAAAACTAACAACAACAAATGTTGGCAAGGATGTGGTGAAAAAGGAACTCTCTATATTGCTGGTGGGAATACAAACTGGTAACGCCACTATGGAAAGCTGTGTGGAGATTCCTCAGACTACTAAACACGGAGCTATCATATGACCTAGCAATTCCACTTCTAGGGATCTATCCAAAGGACATAAAAACAATAATTCAAAAGGATATGTGCACCCCTATGTTTAATGCAGCACTACTTACAATAGGTAAATCCTGGAAACAACCCAAATGCCCAAAACTAGATGAATGGATCAAGAAGATGTGGTGTGTATAAGCGCATGTGAGTGCCCGCACACACACACACACACACACACACACACAATGGAATACTACTCAGCAATCAAAAAAGATAAACTCATGCCATTTGCAGCAACATGGATGGAGGTGGAAGGGATTAGGCTTAGTGAAATAAGTTAGAAGGAAAAAGAAAAATATCAAATATTTTCACTTATGAAAGGAATTTAAGAGAACAAAATAAGATGGGGGGGAGTGTATTGTTATTACAATACAAAACAAAACAAAAACAAACAATTATAAACCAAAGAGATCCTACAGAGGATGGGGACAGAGAGGGGTCAGAAGGAGGGAGGAATGTGGTGGGGGGGCTATGGTGATGATGGGTAGGGGAGGGGGGAAGTAAATATTGTTGTAAAATGAACAATAATGTAAATATACAAATAATAAAGAAAGCATAATATCAAATATAAGCATAAGAAATTTCTCTTTATATTATCCTTATAAGAATTTGCCAGAGCTGTACATTAATCAAAATAAGGAATCCAATACTTCTTTTTTTGGAACCCAGTAATTCTAATAAATTCATAGCATTTTGATGCATTTTTCAGACACTGTAGCCAGTCTGTTAATTACATCATCTTGTTCTTTTCGTTCATTTCTGATTTCCCACCCCTAGATTATTTTATTGAACTTGACTACCTTTACCATAAAACAAAAAAATAAAAAACAAAAGAAGATGATAGTCATTAGGTTAGTCAAGTTTAAGAAGGGGAGAAAAGAAAGGGAAACTATTGTTAAGAGTGAGTTGTCTTTAATTTTTAGTGATTCACATCAGATCTAGCACTAATTAGTAGATACAAGTGAGTCATATGCTTAAGTACTTGCATACACAGAAACATATACTCCTTCACACAAAACCACAACAGGAGACACTGAAAAATGACAGCTGCTGGGGACATTTTCCAATAAAGTTAAGGTAGCTAAACAAATATTTTCTTTCCTCTTTGTGTCTTTTTGAATTCTACAAAAGGACAAGGAAACACTCCACCCAAGAAAACATATGTTTTCCAAAGTGAACTTAGGAAACAATTCAGATGAGTAGTTCTAAAGATTGAGCTTAATTTCTAAACTCACATTTAAGTGTTTTTAGGTGGTTTCATTGGTGTTTTATAGTATACCATCAGATTGTATAAGGTTTTAAAATTTAAGGTTATGCTTTGACAGCCAGAATGACTATAAGAACATCTTCATCTTCCAGCTGTTTTTAATCCATCAGCTATAAACCTTGACTTCCTCTTCTAAGACTCTCCAAGCCACATGAATAAATAATCATCATTAAGATCTCGGGTAATTTCCCAAGAGGGCGATTGCTGAAGCAGAAACCAACTTCATCTTCTTTGATGTCTATTAAAAGTCATAAATGGAAATCCCAGGTCAGTCTTTGACAGATGCTATTTCTCTTATTGGTTTTGAACACAGTTAAACAATCTAAGCCAGAGCCCACAGAAATCACCTAATGCTTTCTCAGAGCACCAAAGAACACCAGGCTTACATTTAACTTCTTACATAAACTTTCCAATGAACATGTGTGCCTCTGACATGTCAAGCAGTAAGTGAGCGGTGCCCAGTGTGGGGGTGGGAGGGAGACATTGCCCATGTGGTATCATTTTTCTACCAGTTCTCCAAATCCAGAGCATGTGAACACATGGTGGGTGCTGGGCAGACAGAACTGACCTGAGCCAAAGATTGACATTATTCTACTGTTCATTGTTCTTTTGACTAACCTTCAAAAGCATCTCCTCATGTTGGGGATTTTCAGAATCATAGGGCTCTCTGCGCAGTTTTTCCACATCAGCAATAAGGTTTCTATAACCAACAATTTGCAGAAGGCAAGCTTGGAGAGAGATACCCAACCTAAGGAGTTCAAAAAAAAAGAAGAAACATAGTTAAGCAAGTCATAATGGCAAAAACAAGTATTGGACATTTACATAGTGGGCAATTTGGCAACATAAAATATTAGAAAAACAAGGAAACATCACTAAATACTGAAGGTTCCCAGGTTAAGAGGGATGGAGGAAGACAGGGGGGCAAGGGAACATAGGGATCATGGTGGGGGGAAACTGATGAGAAAAAACAGAAGTAGCACACGAGGAAAAGAAAACTACATGACACACAAGAGGACTTTTTATTTATATAGTATTTAGGAAATTGTTCAAATAGGATCTATTTAATAGAAGCACAATTTCTTCCTAAAGCCCCATGGCATACAGTTGTTGAACTTGGCTACAATTTACCTTGTCTTTTGGTGTTTCTTCAGTCAATTTGCAAAAGTCTGATTTTAAAGACAAGGGGAGTGCTTTATGCAGGTGACTTGAAAATAAGACATAGAAAAGTATAGAAATAATGGGATCTTAGGGATCCCTTAGCTCCCCTAGGAGGGCTTGTAAAAGACATGGGCGGGTAGGTGGGAAAAGAGAGAAAGCCCTCAGAGGTATAAGGGTCGACAACTTTCAAAATAAAACAACAACAAAAACAAAAACACCTCTGCCTGGGAGGACCCTGACTCATGAGGCAATACCAAAGGAAGAACTTGGTACTTGCAGAAACAAAATCTGCTTTCCTTATTAACAGGTGGTCCAAATTCTGTTCTCTGAGTACAATGTATGTCCACCTTTCCCCTGCCATGCTTATTTATTTTAAGATAGCAATTTTTTTTTCCGTTAGTTCCATCTCCAGGGTTATAAATAAAGAAATAATAGCCCCACTCCTTCAACTCCCTCTCATGAAACATAATTAATTTTCAGACGCTTTGCTGAAAGCAAAGGTAGTATGCATAACAGCCCTCTGAAAATATTTCACCAAACAAAAACAACTAGGTACTCATAACACACATGTGTTATGTGCTGCTTGTGACCTGAATTCTATTCTTACTCTCTAACAATGGAGAAAGTCAAACAGGGTCTATTTAAGCTGTCACATGTATAACAAGTTTATTAAACAGATGGCTAATCATCAAGATCTTTTTTCAGATAAATTACAGTCATATAAATTGTTCTATATTTGTTTGCTGGGATCTTAAAACCTAAAGATAGGGTCTCAGACATGTTTTTTTCCCTGCTATCCTCTTCACAGTCATTCACCTTCATAGTGAATGATGGATGTGCCACTCTAGAAAGCTGTGTGGAGAACACATAAAACACTAAAAATAGATCTACCTTATGATTCAGCAATTCTACTAGAAATCTAACCAAAGGCCACAACAACAATAATTTGAAAGGAAACCTGAACTCCTGTGTTTATTGCAGCTCTATTTACAATATCCAAGATATGGAAACAACTTAAATGTCCCCAAACATGTGACTGGATAAAGAAGATATGGTATGTATACACAATTGAATACTACTCAGCAGTCAAAAATGATAACCACGTGCCATTAGTGTCAACATGGATGGAGCTGGAAGGGATTATGCTAAACAAAATAAATCAGAAGAAAAAAGAAAAATATCAGATGGTTTCATGTATAGGTGGAACATAGCTTGCAAAACTTGCAATCTGGCCAGAAACAGAGAGGGAGAGGGGTCAAAAGAGGGAAGTGACAAGTATGGGGATTATGATAATGGGTCATGGGTGGTATGGTAGGGAGAGAGTTACGAGACTACAACTGAAAGGAGGAATCAAATATTGTACAAAAGCAAACTATAATGTAAGAAAATAAAACAGAAAAAAAGAGGGTTGTGTATTTATATGATCCAACCCAGTAGTTATTATCCACTCTACTCCTATTTCTAATTCACTCACTAAAAGTGAAAATTTTTGTTGTGGTGGTAGTCATAGTATTTTCTTTTGCAAGGAATTAAATGAGATGCAGAGATTAAATCTAAAGTTGAAGAGACAGAGAATTATGTCTTAAGATTCCACAGTTACTCCAAATATAGAGGATACTTATGTCACATAATTGAGAACATTCATGGCCCTATGCTACTTATTATCCTAGCACCAAAATGTGATCAGATATTTAAATTTAGGACAAGGGCACAGTGGCCTGGCCACCCAGAAAATCAACACAGGACTAAGATGGGAGCTCATTTTGAGGAAGAAAAGTGTAGGGAGAAACAAAAGGTGAGGGAACAGAGAAACCAATTCAACTTTTACTGTCATGCTTCTTACTACCACCACAAGCAGTACTTCAAAATATGTAATAAAAACAAAGTAAGCTTAATATTAGCATAACCTGAAAAATGATAAAATAATTCCACTGGCCTTCCCCTCCTCATTCTTGATTTACTTACTTTCCAGAAAACTATCTAATTTTTAAAAAATCACATTTTATCAATGTTAATCTGGCAAAAAAGCACTAACATCCATATTGAGATGTAAAACCACAATCACTATCAACAAGCATTTTCTTTTTCTCCCTAAAGAAAATCAAAAGAATAGAAAGTAAAGAAGAGCTTTTGACTGAAACACAGAGCTTTCATAAAGGAAACATACAAAAGATTTGCTATTAAATCTAATCTCTAAATATGATTATAGGCTTAATCCCTCATGTTCAGTTGTAGTCTTAAATTTCTGGTTCAATTTAATTCAAAATGAATTGCCTTCTTATCGCCTTCCCAAAGGAATAAAGTATATGTCAGAAGGCTTCAAAAAGACATGTACAGCATAATTAAATCAACCTTTAATGGCTGAATAAAGAAAAGGCAGCAATTAGCTGAAGAGGCTGCAGGAAAATGCTATGTTGACCTGGAAATGAAGTTTTGTGATGAGGCCTGATTAGCTAATACTTAGAATCCTTCCCAGAGCTACACCTAAGTAAGTTAACACTAAAATTCCTTTCACCTCTGGCAATCAGAAGACTCCGCTTTAACATCTGAAGTTCTCAGGTGTGTACATCTCAAAGACAGTTTGATCACTGCCTCCCTAAGCTGTTTCTAAGTATATCTACATGCAGAATTTATTCTACCCAATAGTCTTAGTCCCAAATTCTACTGAAAAATTTTTGCACCCAATGGAAAATAGAAAGCTAATTTTAACTGTCATGTACATTGCCAAATGCATTTTAATATTTCCAAGATGAGATGCTTAAATCACAAAGTTCTAAAGTCGTCACATGAAAACCATCTCTCCCTCCCACACATGCCTGTCTTCTTGACAAGCAGGTTGGAAGTAGCTCGGAGAGGATGAGCCTGTCATGAACAGAAGGAGGATTCTTGAAGGAGCAGAATCAGCTCAGACACATTTGCAATTTGAACCTTTACTATTGATGTAAAACAGACGTAACATATGGAGCAATTATTGATGAATGGGCTTCCTTAGTTTTCTCTTCTGGTATCAGGGTTACCCATCAAATGTCTTACATTCATTGCACCTCAGAAGCATCTCTATAAATTTCACAACAGCTGTACAAAGATGCTCTATTTACAAACATGGAAAAGGCACCTTTTCCCTTCATTCTTCACCTGTAGCTTGTAATACTGCAGAAGACTGCAGGGGGAAGAGGGAAGGCATAGGAGACAGAGAGGGTGCCTGTGGGACACCTGGCCACGGAGGAGCTGGCGTTCTATATTTATAGCATATTAAACCCATTCTTACTGTGGATTTATGTCCGGGTTAATTTTTTTCAGTTCCATGATGTCTTCTATAGTTTTCTCAATGGCATCAGGGTGAACACTCACGGCTGTCTGCAACAGCTGGAAAGCATGTTTCAGTCAGTTTCTTTATCATACAGCGAGACTCTTTTTCATAGGGGTGGCAAGTATTTGTTTAAAATGTCTATGTAAATACTCTGGTTTCTGTTCAGATGGTAGAATCATTTGCCTTTTAAAATATCTATCTGAAGATATTTTAAACTAAACTAAAGCAAAACTTCACTTAGTATTTGAATTCTATTGAGGACATTTTCACAATGGAATTAGTGCAATTTTCCTGATTAGGGCCATGAACATAAAACAGAGATAAGTTTTCTTTAACCATTTTCATCTCTCAATCAACTTCTATTGAAATATTATATTTTCTTTTTCTCACCCCACACACACACAGCTTGAATTGTTCATGGGTATTGTGTCTATGACTGAGTGAAAAGCTGGAGGGATATAGTCTTAAGGAGGTCAGAATTAAATTGTAACAGGAAAATATCAAGATTCTTGGGGAAAATGGATTTTCTTTCTGAGGTAGATGCTTAACTACAGCCATAAAAGCTAGGGCAGTGGGCTTGCTTGAAAAATGATTCAAATATTGAGGAAATACCAGTAAATATCACTGTCCTGATTTTCAATTGATACTGAGAGAGGTGTAGAAAGGGATTAATTCAATAATGAAATAATAAGGGCATCATTAAGTCTACCTAGAAATTCACACAGTGGCCCTTTTCATCCAAA